TTGTATATATATATATATATATATATATATATATATATATATATATATTAAAAAGAAGAGAGGTACCGCAAACATTATGTTTTATTTTCCATAATTTTACTACACAGGTTTCTGGTCTCGCGACCGTCTTCAGGTAAAAGGCGGAGATTTCCACATATTATTAAAAAATAATTCATTTTTTTCTTTTATGTTTTTCGATGTTAAATATTCTCGATATGAGACATTTTCTGTTTTTGTGTTAGTAATCCGAATGTCTTTCTTGAATTGGCAGTGAAGAGTTCTGCGCGAAGGGTCATAAAACAATTAAGGTTGGTCCAAGAGAAATGATGAATTACTTATCGGCATTTTAAAAGACGTATTTATGAACATAAGAAGATCCTCTACATAATAATTTATCCAATGAATTAGTTTTACACAGGAATAATTTCAGCCACAACTTTGATATAAAAAATTGTCTTTCGTAGCCTAATGATAAACAAATTATTTTATACACAACAAATATCCAACTATCTTAGCCCTTGAGCAATTTCAAATACGCGTAATGAAAATGTCGGAAAAAGAATAAATTGATGAATTCTTTAGAACACACACACACACACACACACACGCACGCACACACACACACACACACACACACACACATATATATATATATATATATATATATATATGTGTGTGTGTGTGTGTGAAAATATATAGAAAATAGGAAAGAACTGGTTAGGTAAATAATCCAAAGTTCCTAGTATTTTAGTTATTATTTTTAAAAATAGTGCTCGATACAAAAGTAGAGCATAAATATAATTATTTATTTAAAAATATGATTCCAACTCGCGACATAAGAGGTCTCATGTTTCAAAACAAGAGCCGAAAATTTCAATATAATTATTTGAATTAAATTGAGTTAAAGAAAGCTCTGTTCCATCTTCAAGCGAAATTTTTTTTGGAATAACGTATTTCTGAAATTTACGTGTTTTAATAATTGAAATCAAAATTTCCATGGTAACAGCTAGGGCGAATTGTTTAAATTTGGTAGGCGTGTGTTGGGTGTTAATAATAAGTATCAGTATAGAGTTACTTTCATAGATGTCAAGTCAGGGTAAGGTGGGGGTGTCTAAGTTTGAAACGGAAGATGTTTTAGCCTAGTCTGGTTTACGTGTCTATGGAGATTTATTTATTTTTTATATATATATATATATATATATATATATATATATAATATAAATCATTCGAGTAGTGTGGCTAATGTGTACTTCGGAAACTATAAAAAAATGCAATTTCCAATTATGAATGATTTACCGCACTAATCCACTATCATATGCACTAATCCAATTTTGATATATAAAAATTTTAGCTAATTCCGTAAAATACTTGTCGAAAACACAATTATACTTTTAAGCATTATACATCAAACAGTTGAAACCCAACCTAAACAAAATCAATTATGTCATCTCTACAAATATTCTTATATGTCTATAATTGGTAACAGAAGCCATTGGTTTATACCAACTGCATTCCATACTTCATACTTCTCCAATCACTCTCGTGTGACGTCATGAGATGCGGTGCGATTTTCGCTTCTAGCGTCTTATATGCTTATCGTTGTTTAGAAATCATCTATGTAAACAATGACAGACTATCATCACTGTCTTGTCCGTATATTGCTTTATATGTTGTAATTGATATCTTTGATAATGGCTTATGTAAGCCGAAAGCTTAGATTGTATTAAAAAAAAATATGGATCAATATTGTGAATTTCTTTCTTCGTTCAACGATAATGTTATTAAACTTATTAGACGTTACGAAAAAAATTTACATAAAATAAATAGACAACACTTGTCTATATTATTTAATGAAACGTGTAAGAATATATATATATATATATATATATATATATATATATATATATATATATAGATAGATAGATAGATAGATAGATAGATAGGATCCCTCGATTGCTTTTCAACTGAATTGTGTTCTCCGGGCCACTGGCGTATTTCGTATAGAAAAAAGTTAAATTTTTTCTTTCTCGTGCGACGATAGCTTAGGGGTAGGATATCTGAGTGATGACAAATCGCTCAGGTTTCGATCCCGGCTTGAAGCAATCGGGCGTCTGTAGAACTGTGATACTGCGAAACAGTGTATCTGTGGGTGACAATATATAAACTGTAAAATTGGCAACATCATGTCCCACTTCAGACCACAATTATTTTGGAGTTTTTGAAATTCAAATTGTTATTATGTTACTATGATACCAGGGATGTAAAAGAGAATACATTTATAAAGTAATTGTTAAGGTTGATGAAAACTGGTTGAAAGATCAACGAAAAATAAGAAAAAAAAACCTGTAAAAATCGCCATTTTTCGCTATTTACGGGGTTTTTTACTGTATGACTGGACCCAATTATCAAGTTAAATGACTGTTAAACAATCAACTTATTGTTGGTTATAATTGAGCGAAGTTTGTATTAGATTGCTTAAAAATTGAAGGAATTTTTAGTTTAAAATTCGTGTTGAAATCTATTTTTCGTATTCCATGGTTTTTCGCTAAAAGCAGTGGCGTAAAAATAATAAAAAAAATGAGGTATCGTTCAGCTCGTCATGATACAAGTAACCTACATATCGGGAAATCGGAGGAAAAAAGTTGAATTTATCGATTTTCGATCGGCTTTATCGATTATTATTTTTTTTTAAATTATCGATTTTTTACGCTAAGAACCTATCTCTTACATTGTACAATGTATGTGCCAAGTTTGGTTACAAATGGTTGAATGGATCTCGAGTGAAAAGGTATCACACAGACAGAAACAGACATCCTCTGTTTTTTTATATATAGATTATTATTATTATTATTATTAATATTTCCCTTGATTTCTGTTGTATATATACATTTTTTCTGGGTCCTAACCAAAGATCTAAAGTCAGAAATGGCTCCATGACATTTTCATTGACCATTTTTGTAAAACAAACAAAAGGAACAAATCACACACATTTTACATAGAAAAAGCTCTTCTTAATATGTGATCTGTACCTGTGAGTACAATTTTTTGTATTTCTTTAAGGCATAGGGTACCTGGAATCCCTTCAATTAGTCTATCGATGCCTTTTCCAATCAATCTGAGGGAAACAACTACAACTGGAATTATTGATGTCCTCATGTACCAAATTTTTGAGATTTCCATTTTAAGATCACTGTATCGTGATAGCTTTTTAGAAGATCTCCAAAGATACATTACAATTTTCAGGTACAGCCATGTCAATAAGAAAGCACATTCTGTTCTTGAGGTCTTTGATCACGATTATTATTATTATTATTATTATTATTACTTCGTCAGGTTTTTTTCAACCGATTATCTGGCATTATGGGTATTCTCTATCAAGTCGTACGACATCTGGCATAATGTTTTTTTTTCAAAATACTTGGCAGCATCAAGCAATGCAGTCTTAAGTGATGGGCTATTTGGCTTTATTCCCATTTTCTCAATGTAGAGTTTTTAATTTCGGTGGTGTCACTACTGATATTATTACTGTCGTCTTTTATGTGTATTTTTTTTTATTTTTTATTATCAGATTATTATTGATTACATTTTATTATTTTCTTTTACTTTTTATTCCTATCATTACCACGATCTCTTTATTTTTTATTATTACTATTATTATTACCGTTTCTACCTTATTTCTAATTTATTTTTAGTACAGATTAGTTTCATTTTACACATCAATTATATATATATATATTAATGTATGTATGCAATTGTATATATATATATATATATATATATATATATATATAGCATAATGAGAAGCCACGTATACTTTCTTCATATGTATATATATAAAAAAACAACTAAAAAGTTTCAAATTAAAAAATTAATATTGTTTTTTTATGAAAGTATTTATTTATATTTCATATTTCAGATCGACCTCAAATCTTTCTTCAGAAATAATTGTTTTTACGACATCTGACCGTGTGGGGCGGCTGGTAGATATCATGCAGTTGGATATTCGTCTCCAGCTGTGCTGGTCAAACTCTCTGCCTCCGAGCAGAGAAGATCCCCAGACGAGGCTATGTCGAGGGGCAGAGTCTATTCTAGGGAAACAGCTACACGACCCCGTTTTATACGCGGTCTACGGGCTCGGATACCCCACATTAAATTCGGCCTTGTGTCACATCTGACCAAGTGGGCCGTTGGTAGATATCTTGCAGTTGGGGATTCATTGTGGAATTCACTTGACTCACTTCTAGCAGTTGACTACTACTTCTACGCGCCGCTGGCGAATCTTATATGTGTTGTTCGTGTCCTAAGTATTATCGTTCATTACCAACCTTCGTTTGATTATTCTATTCAGTAACCTTTCCTAGGTTACAACAGTTTCATTATTTGTAATTTTCATCTCGAGTAACTTCTTCTGCTAACAACCATGCATTTTCTCTTCTAGCAATTAATGTTTAGTCCTTTCTGCTCGCTTTTCTTCACTAGCTCTTGTCGAAGTTATTATAGTTTCCTTTTTGTGTCAGCTATCAATACTGTGTCATCTGCATATCTTATGTTGTTAAGAGTGTAGCCACCAATAATGAATCCTGGTAGGACATCTAATTCTCTCAGAATCACCTGGTCGAAAACAAAGTTAGAATTTATAGACTTCAAAATGTTCTAATGAGAGATGAGTATTTCTTGAAGAGGATAATTGAGTCATGAATGGTACAGTGACCTCCATGACCGAAACAGATCAGCGCATTGGTTAAAAGGTGGTTTCATTTGTTAAATTGAATGCAGTTTCAATCTCTTCCAAAAGGTAAATCCCCTTTAATAATATTTTTATACCCTAGGCCGGTAGAAATTAATTTTACTGTCTGAAAAAAAAAAAACCCTGAGACTTTTATTCAAACGCGTGTATAAAAAACAATAAGATACTATAGAAAGAAAGAAACTTTTTTTTTGTTTCAAATATCCTTACTTTCTACGTAAGTAAATACACGGTATTCCCATATGAATATACTTTAAACCACCGGTTCTTGTACGGTCACCGAAGTTAAGCAACGTTAAGCCTGCTCAGTAACTAGATGGGTGACAGATTGGGAATACCAGGTGCTGTAAGCTACTTGGCCCGGGGGCAATGATCAAAGTGTAGTACGCTGCCTTTGTGAGCTTCCGAGTCGGCGTCTGTCGAACTCTCTGCATTAGCAGAGAGGAACCCGAACGAAGCTTTGCCGAAGGGCAAGGTTTCGTTCGGGGAGGTAGACAGGGCCTGGATCCGTCTAGGCGGGTTCAAAAAGGCTATATTTTTGGCTGAGCCTACTGGCTCGGGGATACCCACATTAAACCGGTCTTGTGCCACATTCTATCCTCGTGGGTGGATTGATAAATACTAAGCTTGGACATGCGGGCGGTGTAATGAATGATGGCACGAAATCGGAAAATCGGAGAGGCGAGTTCCAATACCAACCGGATTCTTTATATTCACTTACGCGCAAATACTCTTGGGAAAAAGGTATAAATCCACCTCTTCTCCCCCCGATATGGGTTAATTAGTAGAAAAAATCATTATTATCTCCTAAAAATTCTTACAGTCTAAAATTATTTTCTGACTTGAAATATCCTACAAAGGTTGATAAGCCGTAAAAAAAAAGGAAACAAAATCAGCCAGTACGTTCATGGGGAGAGTTTACGGATTATCTGTTAATTTTCAAGCGTTTTTGATGGTAGAGTTATGTTAAAAAAAATTCAGATTTTTAAGCAGGAAGAGTAAGGATGATTGACGCAATACAATCTTATTTCTCGTTTAGCTCTCATCAAATGTTCGTAAAGAATGTGATGCAGATGTATCTTTTTCCATTGAATGTTTCGCAAAACATAGAAGTAGGTAATAACTCAGATAAACGTTTATCCCGATGAATATGAAGTGACTGAAAACAATAGACACAGATTAAAAAGATGCGTATACACCTATAGAAAATAAACGGCTTTCAGTTGTTTCTTATTTTCTTTATTTAATATTCTAATTTCTGCGTTTGTCTAAAAAGAGAGACGAAAAGTTAGAAGGAATGTCACGCAATTCAGCAATGGCCGCCGAGGACTGCTTTTAAATCGTTCAGCCCGACTCCATAATAAGCGACCAGCTCTCGTTTCGGCTCCAATTTCAGAAATCTGACCTTTGGGACAAACGGCAGTAACTTGTAGATTCCCTTGCGAGAATTTTAGTCCAATTCGTCAGTCGGAATAAATCGTAGCCCACTTTTCTTTGAAAATCACTGTTTGCGTTAGGATGGAAGTCGGTGAATGGGAAGCTGGTCGAAATGTGTATGAGTCATTTTTTTTTTTTTTTTTTGGTCTTTTGGTTTTTATTCTCAGGCTGACTTGGCGTCATTTCGTTTAATAAATGCGTCCCTCGCAATAGGACATTTTCAGCTGGTCACGTCTACTGGCAAGAGACATGAGATTAGACCGGAAAAGCACGCGAAGATACTGAGATCTGACTTAATTTTGCGAGTATCTGCATGAGGAATCGTAGGAAATAAATTCAGTCTTCGAAATTAGATGTAAGATGAGGGAGTGAAGAAGGCATAAGAATGATAGCAAGATTTGATTTGAACATAATTTGTGCAAGGACAAACGGGAGTGGATGTTTAAGAAATGAAAGGATAAGCTTCGCTAAGTTTGATTCAAGGTTATGCAGAATTATAATACCAATTAAACATTCAAATTACTATATTTTCTGGCAAAAGCTTGTTAATTTATGTACTACAACAGCATTTATCAGATAAATAGCTATATAGATAGAAAGAAAGAAATGGAGAGGGATAGATAGAAAGGAAGAAAGAAAGATAGAGAAAGAGAGGAAGAGATAGATATCAGGTCATCCCATAAGTTCTGTCCGAATTTTACCTTTTTTTAAAATGAATGAAATTTAAAGAGTATTTTATAATGTCTAATGGAGCTAAACATTATTTTTATGTTTAGATGCATTTAAACTGATCAAATTTCATTTCAGAGAACAATAAAATTAGATTTTGTTTGATTAAAACCCTGCTAACATGGAAGTACCCAAGAATCATTTGAGGCACATAATGCTTTATGAGTTCAAGAAAGGAAACTCAGCAGCCGAAGCGGCTAGAAACATTCACTCAGTTTATGGAGAGGAATGTGTGAATAAAAAAAAACTTGCAGAAGATGGTTTGCAAAATTCAGAGGTGGAGATTTCACCTTTGAAGATGAAGACCGAACCGGACGTCCACGTTTAATGAAAAGCTTCTTGAAGCAGCCCTTGAAGAAAATCCTGCTTTATCAGTTGAGGAATTGGCAGTGGTTCTCAGTTCAAACCATACAACTGTTCATCGTCATGATCAACAACTTGGGAAAGTTCCTAAACTTGGAAAATGGGTGCCTCATGAATTGTCTGAAAACAACCTCAAATCCCGAGTTGACATCTCTTCTCTCCATTCTCTCCAACTTGTTTCACCTTTTTTGGATAGACTTGTGACGAAAAATGGATCTTTTATCGAAATGTTAAACGTCGTAGACAGTGGCTTGGTAAAGGGGAAGGACCCCAGCCACAGCCGAGAAGGGAACTTCATGGGCAAAAGGCTCTTCTTTCAATCTGGTGGGATCGCCAAGGAATAATCCACTTTGAATTCTTACCACCTAATGCAACAATTAATGCTCAAATATACTGTCAGCAATTAAAGCGTTTGAACCAAGCTTTGAGGAAAAAAAAAGACCTGCTCTAGTGAATTGAAAAGAGGTGATGTTTCATCAGGACAATGCGTGACCACACACAGCAAGAATCACGTCACAAAAGATCGAAGAACTTGGTTGGGAGAAAATTCCTCATCCACCTTATTCTCCCGATCTTGCTCCTTCAGACTACCATTTGTTTCGTAGCTTACAGAATCATTTGGAAGAAACAGCTTTTGTAACACAGGAAGAGGTTGAAACTGACATTTGTGAGTTCTTCGAATCAAAGCCAAAAGAATTTTACAGTAATGGAATTAGTAATTAGAAGGAAGTCATAGATAATCAGGGAAAATACATTGTTGATTGAATCTGTAATTAAATATAACATTTGGTCGCTTGTTTTCTTTATTCAAAATTTGGACAGAACTTATGGGATGACCTGATAGATAGATAGATAGATAGATAGATAGATAGATAGATAGATAGATATCAGGTCGTCTCATAAGCTCTGTCGGAAATATTATATATGTAATTTAATAAAATTTTACAGTAATCTAAAATGTCAAATGATACTGATTGATAATGATATGAATTTAGAAATCACTAACTTAATATAATTTCTTTTAGAGAATAATTATACTGAATTAATTACTCAGATTAGTCCCTCAAAGATGAAGCTTTCAAAGATGCATTTAAGGCACATAATGCTTTGTGTGTTTAAAAAGGGAACCCTGCAGCCGAAACGACTCGAAATATTCAATCAGTTTATGGAGACGAATGCCTGAATGAAAGAACTGGCAGAAGATGGTTTGCAAAATTTCAGCGTTGAAGATGAAGACTGAACATGACGTCCAGTTGAGTTTGATGATTGTGGCATCACTTGAAAAAAAATCCTGCAGTATCAGTTGAAGAAATGGCACGTCCAAACCACACAACTCTTCATCGTCATTTTCAACAACTTGGAAAGGTTCCTAAATTTGGAAAATGGGTGCCTCATGAATTGTCTGAAGTCAATTGCAAATCCCGAAATGACATCTGCTCTTCTCTTTATTCTCCTGAACTCATCTTGTCCTTTTTGAATAGACTTGTGACTGGTGGTGAAAAAAGGATTTTTCTATCGGAATGCTAAACGTCGTATACAGTGGCTTGGTGATGAGAAAAAGGCCTTAACGCAACCGAGAATAGAGCTTCATGCGGAGAAGACACTTCTCTCTATTTGGTGGAATGGCAGGGGAATAATTCACTTTGAGTTGCTACCAACTAATGCAACAATCAGTGCTCAAGTCTACTGGCAGCAGTTAGAGAATTTGAATGCGGATTTGAAGAAAAAAAAACCTGTTTTGGCGAAACGAAAAAGAGTGATGTTTCATCAGGACCAGGCACGAACCCCCACTGCAAAACTCACATCCCAGAAGATAGAAGAACTTGGTTGGGAAAGAATTCTTCATCTACCTTATTCAACCGACCTTGCTTCATGAGACTACCATTTTTTTCCGTAGTTTACAGAATTATTTCGATGGAATAACACTCAAAACTGACATTTCAGAGTTCTTTTCTTCGAAACCGGAAGAGTTCTTTGTTAGTGCGATTAAAAAGCTTGTAAGCATATGGAAAGAAGTCATAGATAATCATGGACATGACTCGTTCTTTATTATTCAAAATTCAGACAGAAATTAAGGGATGATCCGATAGATAGATAGATAGATAGATAGATAGATAGATAAAGTAGGAAGAAAGAAAGCAGCTGAGAGGAATATATAGATTGAGGGATATATATATATATATATATATATATATATATATATGTGTGTGTGTGTGTGTGTGTGTGTGTGTGTGTGTGTGTGTGTGTGTGTGTGTACAGTAGCGGCCATAATATAAGGAATGGAAACATAATGTGTATTACTTAAAAATTAATGCATGATTAGCAATGAAATTTTTACCGAATAAACATTAGGGTGTAATGCATAAATATTATACAAAGTTACAAAAATTTACATAATAGTTTGTTTTTGTTTTTTTTTTAATCGAGTAAATTCGAACTTCACTTGAATATATTAGAGACAACATACACTAAGACTTTACAGCCTTCCCTTTGTAAACAGAAAGAGTGGCTATTGAGTTTGAATGTATATTGCCTGTGATCTTGATTGGGTTGTATGGGAAATATTTACTTTAGATATTTAAAAGAAAATTATTCTGTAAAACTTTATTTTACATATTTATTTCTACCGGCGTTGAATAAATGAATATTTATAATAAAACGTATTATTTGAATATTACAAACAGTAAAATGTTTTACTCACGAAGGAGATGAGGCTGGGTAAGTTGGCTGGCTGGTTGGTTGGTTTATTTTGTTTTACGGTATATCAACCTCAACAGGCTATTTAATGCCGACAAGATTTTTGGGATATGTTTGTATGAATAGAATGTGTATTCTTTGTAAGAAATCAGTTTGTAGATCAAGTTTCATTGACGTATTTTTGTAAAGAGGGTTTTTGTCGAGAGTCAAAACTAGTGTTGGTATTTTTTTCAAAAAGTATTGCTGGTATTTTTTTTTCAAATAAGTATTGGGTGTTAACTATTCGTCCATACTTGGGATCCTAACAGGTGTTATCATCCTGGGTCAGAGTGGACCTGGAAAGAACAGCAATTAAGAGGTGGTTCCACACTCTTCAAAACCTCCCGATCAGGGGCCTTTGCTGCTGGATGTTTATCGTTATACGCAGGACGGACCAGTTTGAGACTTTTGTGCATGTATTCTGATTCGAAAAAAAAAAAAAAGCACATGTAAAAATTTGATTTTCTCATGAAAAGCTAAAGAAAAATTCTACATTTATTTATTAAAAAAAATACCTGTCCAGATTTGGCTGATAGACGCCGGTTGTGATTTGTGATGTTGGTGTAGAATTTTATCTTTTAAGGCTTGCTCATTTCCTTTTGTCACCGCGCTTTGTGATTGCTTAAAAACGATAATGTTTTATAGCTTCAAAATCTGTAGTTTGTACGCCGATAGATATTTATTAAGCTAGAATAACATTGGCATAGTTAGTAAGTAGTGTACTGATTAACTAATAAGTTGATAACGTAAGCAGTTACACAAAATATACCATTATACATTATAATAAACAAAGAAATATACACTGGAAGTAAGTCTTCGATAATGATGTTTATTTTTGCAAGCACAAACTTAAAAGTTAAAACTATAAAATATGTGAATCTTGCATGAAAAGTTCATAAGAATAAATACAAAGTGTCTAGCTGTATTACTGACTTTTGCAATAAACAATAAGAAAGAGATTCGTTTATAATGTTTTATTCAGTTTAGCTTTGTGTATTCCAAAGAAGTTTGTATTACATATCTATATATATTGAGGGTTCTACTAAGGAATTACTTCTGTTTTGACTACTTCATGACTACACATATTTTCTCATGTTGAATGAGCGGGTTAAATAAATGAAGTTGATCAAAATACGATTGTTTTTTTTTCTAGTTTTCACTTTAAGCTTTTTGCAAGTAATATGAATATGAGAACTTTTAAATTTTGATTTCTTCCTATTTTTTCTTTCTTTTTCAATCTTTAATCTTTTTTTTTTAATTTTCTGCTATAAGGATTTTTAATTGCGCTTTTTCGTTTTTTTTTCTCACTTTCTTTTCTATTTGAAAACAATAAGAAAGAAATTCGTTTGTAATGCTTTATTCAGCTTAATACGAGTGACATAAAAATGTTAGTTTGAATTAATCGACTTACAATGCGACGAATTTTTTAAACCAAAATTTCATTCCGAATCCACTGTTGAATTCTACAACAAATATGTTTTGCCAAGCGCAAAATAGACCAGCCTATTGAATAATACAAAAATGATGGCATCATTATTTACAAGTACGTGTCCTTGTGAACAGCCATTTTTTTTCGAAAATGAAATATATTAAATGTCGTTTAAGAACAAGATTGTGTGATGACAACCTGGATCTCCTGTAATCAACAAATATTTCACCTGATGTGGAGAAGTTATCAAACAACAAGCAAAAACAAGTGTCTCATTAAATAATTTGACATTTCTAATTGTATTTCGTTTGTAGTAAGGAATTTGCATTTTTTGTTGATTGTATTAATTTTTTTTTTTTTTTACACTATTTACATTATTCGGACTGTTGTCCTCATCTTTGTTGTCATATTCACGACGTTTCGGCCGCTATACGGTCGGGCCTTCTTCAGGTGATTGGAATTACGAACCGAACTTTTTTCATCCACCAGGGTAGAGTGTTCTAGTTCCACGTGCCATGCCTCTTCTAGATATCTCAGTTTCAGTTATTTCCCTTTAGTAACTCAACTCTCCAAGTTTTTGTTCACCTCTGCCGTGACCAGGTATTGAACTCACAACTCTTTGGGTCAGGTCACTGGATTACTTCAACCAACGCTTTTATCTATTGGTTTATGTGTTAATTGATATGTTGCTATCCAATGTTAATTGTTATCCTGCTATTCCTGCAGTAAAATAAGGAACCTTGTTTAAATAATATAACACTTGTTGTTTTGTTTTTTTCCTTTTAACCTCCAGAGCAAGGCAGCCTTCTGTCCAGTACGGTCTGAGGTCGAGACAATTTATTATAGAACATTTGATATCATGGCCCTCCTCCTGCAGAGTTGTCTGACCCGGTCTCTCCAAAAGGTTGCCGAACCCTGCTCTAGACTATTGTCCTGTGTGTTCAGTTTGAAAATCCCTAAAGGTTACTTGGAACAACAGACACCCGAAGAAAGCCGAAATGTCTTTTAGTATATTTCTTTTTCACTTTTAGTTTAATCGTTCAAATAGAATATGAACAAAATCACGAAAGGTTTAAATAAATTTAATGACTTAAATATGCGGCTAAAAAAAATTGCTCTGTACCAATTCATTTCAGGATAAGCAACGACTGAGTGGGAGATATTCCAACTAATTCTATTGCGATTTTAAATTTTCGGCTGTTGGAAGGTTTATTCGGACGAAGGAAAAGACGATTATGTCCAGTGGCATTTCTGTGGTGCGGGGGCGTACTGGGGCTAAGATTAATGCCTTCGTGTGAAACTCAAAGTGAATGCAAGGAGAATTTCGCTTTTATTTTTATGCTTCATCTTTGTCTATTTATACAAATTTCAGACATTTCTTCTTCTTCTTTTCTGAACGAATGGCATTTATCCGCACAGTCCACTCAAGTGGAATCTGACCCAAGATCGAGTTTAAAGTGGGACGGAAAATTGCTCAAGCTCTCTCGGGACTTACTCTTTCGGGGACGCCTCAGACCGAAGTAGTCACTACACCTCCCCCTCCCGAAGGAGAGGTATTGCATAGGAGAACACGCCTCGTCTATACCCCGGGGTTTTGAGTACATCATGTTAAACGACTTATTTACTGAAAGTCAGTTCTAAATGAAAGAGCCTTTCTCAAATTTTTTTCAAGGCCAATTGTCATCAATCCGAACCAAGCTGTTTTTCCTTAGTTCGAACTGTTGTTTGCTGAATTTTTCGGATAGTATTTGTCGGGTTACCTCCGCCTTATTTTCGAAACCGTTGCTCTCAGGACCATAAATATTCTGCGATATTTCCCTCATTCTCTTACCCTATCCGCTTATTTGTCAACATGTAAATCTCTCGCGAAAAACGCGCTTCACTTTGAGAAATGCATCAGCAGTACAAAAACACACACACACACACACACACACACGTAGATACGTACATTCGCTCACTATACATACTTAGGACCAAAACGGTTTCCACAATCATTTGTTAGACACATTATTGTCTTATCGCCTGTATACCTTTGTTGTTAATACATTATCATTTGTTTGTGCATATATATATATATATATATATATATATATATATATATATATATTGATACTTGTCTCTTTTCTTTTCATTTATTTACATGGACTCACATCCCGAGTCTGCCATGTTTGTTGTTGGCATTTAACTTTCAACGCATTCACCATCCCGCAACATATTAAAACGCGTATGAACTATATATGGCTTCGCAGATAGGATGCTTAAGTCGCTTGGATGAACCAAAATTTGTAGAGATTTGGATCTGTTGTGTTATAGCCCAGGATAGGGCTAAAAAATAGAAAGACAAAGTAGCAAGTCCTGAGAAAGCTAATCTCATCATGCAAAAGTGACATAACACGACCATTATATCAAAGATAGGATGGCCCATTCTGAAACATTAAGGCACGGAATTAAAGAGGAAGACTTTGTGAAGGAAGAAGACCTTGACAGAGAAGAAAGGATGAGTTTTTCAGATCAGGAAAATGCAAGCTCATGGATGATAACGGGAGTGACTCAAATACGAAAGAAGATGAACTGAGACTAAGATCCCTATTAAAAAGAACAGTACATAAACTTCAAGGGAGAATGAAGGAAAGAGGTTGTAGATGTTCGAGAATAACCAAAGGCTTTAAATCTCTTCGGTTCAGGGAGGTGTGGTGGAATGATGAATAGCATTGTGCCTATTTGTTAAGTAAAAGAGATATGCAGTAATATGTTAAGTAAAAGAGATATGCAGTAAGAGACAAGCAAGAAGTTGACTACTGATCACGTGTCGTTGAACAACACAATATAAGACTATACCTCTACAGGGTACCCAGTAAAAAAGCTATCATGATTCTTGCACAAATTGAACAATCATCGCAGATATTCGAAATGTTTGCCTCAATGTTCAGCAAAAAGTTGCAAGCGTGGTAGGCAGAAGGCAGTAGCATTTTGGAGA